AAAAGAACCTGATGTTGGGAAAGTGTGAAGGCAAGAGGAGAATGAGACAACAGAGGACGAGATGGTTGGACAGTGTCATCGAAGCTCCCAACATGAATTTGATCCAACTCTGGGAGGCAGTGGAAGACAGGAGGGCCTGGCGTGCTCTGGTTCATGGGGTCACGAAGAGTCGGACACAATTTAATGACTAAACAACAACAAGATGCTGTATTATAGCCCAAACCTGCATTTTTCAGTATCCTGATGCCTAAGTATTTTACTATCCTATTTTCTGCCTTCTTCCTTTGTTTTCAGTAAGGGTTTGTATTTTGTTTATTGAGATGTACACATTTTTTTTAAAAAAAAATTAACGTTGCAGATCACAGTTTGCAGTTTTTGCATTATAGCCCAAACCTGCATTTTTCAGTATCTTGATGCCTAGGTATTTTACTATCCTATTTTCTGCCTTCTTCCTTTGTTTTCAGTAAGGGTTTGTATTTTGTTTATTGAGATGTACACATTTTTTTTAAAAAAAAATTAACGTTGCAGATCACAGTTTGCAGTTTTTGCATATGGAAAGATTAGTAGTATAGTATTGAAGAACTAAAATAAAATGAAGTGAAGTAAATGACAAGTTTACTGGTGTGGACACTGTTCTACTCTCAGGACTAAGCTCAGGCACTTTTGATGAATATCTTGTAGTGGGGAAATGGCAATGATAGAACTTTCAGGTTTTCTTTACAGCCTGCTCTGTACACTTAAGTGTTTGGAGGTAAGCCACTTGTATTCTTGGTATTGAATTGACTCAAATGGGAGCATTCATCTTACATGGGCTACAGATTGAGTTGGTGGCATCATTAACTCATCAAGTTTGAAACTGCTCCTGGTGTATTGTGAAATGCTAAAAAAGAACAGGATTTGATCCTGTGGAAACGCTCCCCAATGCTTGCTCATCTGGCTCAATGGTTACATGCTTTTTGCAGTTTGTGCTTCCATGCTGCATACACGTTGGATCATCACCCACCATTGCACTATCTGGGGTTACAAAAACATCAAAAAGAATGTAAACAAGATAACAATGTGCTGCTTTGCCTTTGTACACTGATAAGTGATGTATACATGCATGTTGTAAACAGTTAAGCTCCTTATGCTCAGGTATAAGAGTTGACTCTCCTGTAAAATGCACAGCTATAAATGGCAATGCACAGTTCTTCGATGTCCTTGGCTTGCTTTTGTTGTTGTTTTATTTCTTGGACTCATTGAGGTTAAGACCAATAAAGCCATAGCCAACATTTCCCCCCATACAGACTTCAGGACAAATGTGATGTGACATCACAGCCATCTGCTTAAGTGTGCCCTGTTCACACACAAAAGAAAGAGTGACAGTAGACAATTTGAAGGACAGATGTGACATGGGCCATGGTGCTGGGTTTTCTCCTACTTAAAACCTGCCCCCTGCCCTGGGCCCAGCTGTGCTGCGTGCAGATGTCAGTAATAAACTTCACCCTCACAGTGGGGCAAAATGCTTGACACAAAGGCACCAAAGCAGTGGGGCTTGGGAAGAATTCTGGCTTCTTTCCTCATAAGTGATCAGGGCATGCATCTGCCATCTGACCCTTAGTAATCCATTCGTAGAGCCCTGGACATTCCCTAAAATGTAAATCAGTGACTTGGATTTTGAGCATGAATGCAATCATGCCATTGCTTTTGGTCCTTAAGAATGAGAGGTGATAAGACTCATACCTCTCTGGAATCACCCCATCATAGCACAAAGCAATTCTTCTTAATAATGAAAATTAAGAGATGGATGTGGATAGAAAATGGTTACCTCATACATGGCAAGATGTGATGTGTTTTGTTGAAATCTAGCATATTATGATGTGCACACCAAACTCTGCCACCCACCCACAAGTTCTTAACCATCTAGAAACCACAGTCTGAACTGTTGGAATTTCTTGATTTAGCTACTCTGGCTTGTTTAAGCTGTGGCTTGTTATGTTGTCAGATCTTACAGTTGTGGCTTGGGTCTGGCCAGTTTCCCCATGGTCCCGTCTGAAACAGGAGGCGATAAGAGAGGTGGGAAAGAAAGGAAAACAGGGACAAGCTACAATGTAGTCTGTGTGTCCAGAAACAAACCATGGGGAACAGAAACTGTGTATTAATCCCCCTATTTTCTGTGGCTGGTCTTTAGCATGTGGAAGAGATTCCCTGGCTGAGCTGGACCAGAGGTTTAATTGCTTTGCCAAACAACCATGTCCTGACAGTTTGAGTGCCTTTGGATAA